ACTAACAAAGGAATTAGCGAAACTGGAAAATGCCCCCTCCAAGCCGAACAGCATCTTTGTTGCTATTATTGTTGTCTTTGGTGTGATTATTTGTTAACTGACAATCGATTAATGGGTTTCAGTGCACCGAACCATGTCGGGAAACCTTCTCTGACGTCAACTCCTGTAAAGAAATCGCCTGCAAAGTGAGTTTCTCGTCTTCCACACATTTTTCGTCTAACAAATTAATGGGGTCGTTTTCAGGATACAATAGAAAAGGAAGTCTGTGAAAGGTCGTGTGACTATCTGCAACGTATTTACACTGAAAAACCCGGTGCTTGTCCGAAAATGGCCAACCAATCCAATTACGTAAGTTTTCTATTTGGAGCACAGCACTGGGATGTGTGAAACGGCGTAGTCATAACGACCCCCTACCCCTCCCATTCCAACTTGTTCTTCCAGTTCAATCCCATTTCCAGATCATACCGATCATCTTTTCGGATTCTCCCAACACCCAACCAATTGTCCTGTATTTCGCCTATAAAAACTGCTTCGAGCAGGAAGGGAGGGGGATGGCCAAAGTCAACTATTATTAGGTCAGAAACAGTAGCTGAATAGTAGTTCTGGGATGGCGTTGGGGGTTCTACCAAATACCTCCCTCTTCAGCGAAAACTACGACCGCAGTTCTCCCAGCGATGCTGTGTACCCTGCTCCGATGTTACGATTTACTAGATAAGTCCTCAGGAGCATATACTACTGCTAGAGCAGGAGCTGGAGGGGGCAATCGGCTAGCAAAACTAGATTATGTCCATTTTCTGCTCGGCTACTGCTTCTCACCTTGATAATGTTCGATGACTTTGATTGGGGCCGGTGAGGGTGCAGACGAGCGGTAAATGAGCTTAGCTAGCTTCACTGTCCACCATTCATCCTTCTACCACCTCCTCCCCCCCCCCCCCCCCCCCCACCCGAATGATTGAAAGGAATACTTCCAACATCTACCAACTATTAATAATTAGTTCATATTACAAGTTATCCTTCTAGGAATGCACAGCGCTATGCCACCTCGACGGCGACTGTCCAGAGACGGGAAAGTGCTGCACGTACGGTTGCAGTCGACAGTGTGCGCTCCCAAGAGGACGGGATCCACGGCTGTTGCCCATACCAAGTTCGATTTCCGTACAGGAACGGAAGAGGAAACGGTAAGTAATGGTTTACAGGCCTCTTGAAGTCTAGCTGAGTATGTTCGCTATCGAAATGGGGGCTCAATTCCGCGACGGGGAGGAGGGGGGACTTCGCAATCGCACTACTTTTCATTGACGGTTCATTGCTTAACAAGTATTGACAGGTTTTATTTACAAGAGTTGCAAGTGGCTTTACAAACTTGGCTTGTATCACTTTATGGCTTCACAAGCTTTCACAGGTCTCCACTTGATCGCCGACACGTGATGGGAAGTAGTGAAAGTGCAGAATGCCCCCCCCCGTCCAGCCAAACTGTGCCAAACTGTCCTGAATTGGCCACATGTGCTTGAACGCAGAACTCCTTTTATCATCCTTCTTATAAGCTAATCGACTCCTACTTATTTCACTTGTTGCAGCTCAATCATAATTCGTTGGGTGATGCAAAAGCTGAGCCGTGAACAGAACGCCGCCAATTCAAATCTCTACGTGGTCCAATGGCGATGGGGGTCTTCAACCAGAAGGCGAGAGCATGACTGAATGGCAGACAGTCACTGTGGTAAGTATCATCGGCGTTTCACTGGAAAATCAATAAATCGATTGCCAAAGCGATCACATTGCAGCGAAACAAGCCATATGCTATTCTGAAGCATCTACTTTCACCTGGTCGGTATTACCAGTTCCGAGTCGGTGCTGTTAGTGTCCATGGAAGCCTTGGATTCAGCCAGCCATCACAGCCCTTCAAACTTTCCAAAGGTGAGCTAAAGGCCCTCCTGTTCACAGTATAACGGGCTCCGTGGGATGTTTAGATTGGGAGGGACATTTTGCCGTTTCACTCACTTTGCTTCCTGTTAACTGACACGCGTCTTTGATACGACCTGTAGACGCTTGTCAAGTGTAGAGAAGCTCATGCTAAGGCACAGCTTCACAAGAGTGTGCAGGTCTGCGCAGGAGACATCGGCAATGATCGATGGGAGCCAGCAAAATGCCCCCCCCCAAGCCGAACTGAGCCTATCTCAATAACTTCGGCTTTATTTTTGTAGTGCCATATATCCAATGGGATGTTACAGTGGATACCTTCCATTATACGCCATCGTGACGTCATTAAGTGGCAAAGATGTTCATTCACGATGCTTTTCAGAAGCTCGTGCACCATCCTCACCACGTGATATCTCCCTTGGCGCATCTAAACTCACCCCAATTGGTCTTTGGAATCAAATTCGTTCAGTGGACACCGCCAGCCAGCGACTTGCCGATCAAGAATTATCAGGTAAGTAGTGATGATTATTTGGCAACAAAAAATCACTATTGGTGACCCCATGTGGATTATCTATGTAAGAAATTAGCCTGATTAGAAAATATGGTGAGTTCATGCATCAATCCTTGCCTCGTCGATCCCCTGGTCTCGACCGCGTGCGGTCGCGAAGCGGCACATATCATCTGCCACACGATCTCTATTCTACTATGAAAGTTACATTGTTTTTTTCGTTCTCAAGTTCAAGCCAGCTATTTCTGCAAGGCAGCTGCTCTCCGCGAACCGCATAACGCTCTGCGCATTGCATTCAGTCGTGCACTAGTTACGTTTTTACCGCTTTTTGTTGAAATATTCGGCGCTGTTTGGCTTGGTGTGGGCACCAAATGACACTCAGTGAACTTGTACAGGCCTGTGATGATTTGTTAATTGTTGTAACCAAAGTTATCCACTTGTACCATTTCGCAACTTCATCGGTGTTTACAGTTCTCGCCAAGTGAGCCAACAACGTGCTATTTTAGCTCTCCTGGGCCGTGTCGTCCGCTTCGGAAGCAAACGCGTTTGAGGAGATGATGCGACGACGTGCCACTCTCACCACTCACGAGAAACGAAGTCTTGATGAAGAAGAAGAAGCTTGGGGTATCGAAGGACGGTAAGTATTTATTTGGACGTCTGACTCCTGGCCTAATGACCTGAATGACTAAGGGGTTTGAAGATTCTTTCCACAGCCAGCGTCACTAATAAGACGTTAGTGAAATACTCCCACAACACCCCTCTGCTTCCGCTATAATTGTATGGGCGGAAACTCGTGACCGTCGCGCCCTCCTCGTTGGTGCAGGGTAAACAGACGCCATTAGGGCCTCACCTATATCCCACTTTTTTTTCACGTAATGTGTAAAGGCAAAAGTTGAGTTCCTAGCAGAAAACATAGCTCACGTCGCCAAGGAGGCAGGTGCTAAGCCGCGTGCCGGTTGCGATAGCCATTTCGTTGCCTCCTGCGCAAACACGTAGTTCCTCTAACACCTTCATCCTCCCCACGAATGTTGGAAGCCGTTTCCCCATTCAGCCGTTTGTCATGAAAAGACGCATTCCACGATAACCTGGAAGACCTAGAAATGAGTGGGGACTCCATAACATCACTTCGTTGGTGCTCTCTTCCTTTTGTTCGTCCGAGAAAGGGCCACCAAGGCAGCAATAAGCAATAGCTGGGGGTCGCCGCCTCAACTGACCGCCGAAAGATCGCTTATAATCAGGATCTTTTTGTTCCGAACCATGAACGACTGTATACACGAAACTTTAGCGATCCGCCACTCAGAGTGATCATCCCAGTCACACCACGCAATCGGAGCTATCTGGGCTGTTCCCAAACTCTGTCTATATTGTTGAGGTGAGTACATCTGCTGGTATTTTTTCGTCAAGACTCACCTCAAAGTCGCGAGGAAACGGATATGATTACGGTAGTAACGATAAAGCTCTTTTGCAGATCCATGCTTCCGTGGACTCCAGTGAAGGTGAGCTACACGGTGAGAAAGGAATCATCTTTGTTCGGACGCTGAACGCCACCACCTCGCAGATCCTGAAGGAACCTCCTATTGGTCAGTGCATTTCGCAAAATGTGTTTTTATGATACCCAAATCACATAAACCCAGAATTTTGAAGAATTTTTTCAAGCAATCAATCAATTACCTGTCAGAAACTGCAGTAAGAAGAATCAAATTGATACAAACTAGTATTTGAATTCACAATAAGCCCAACAAGACTCGACGGGGGGGGCATTGAGTAGATGAACATCGGAAGAAGTAACCGGAGAATATACTCTAGTCGAAGATACTTAAAATCTTAATCATATGGGCGGAGCTGAGTCTACCTCTGCGGGCTTCCTCATTGCTCGCCCTGTTGAGATAACAATGTGGAGAGTTGAACCAATTAGGAGAGCGCAATAATAGGCTTGACTCCGCCCACATGATCAGTGGGGAACTAAACGTGAACCTTACTTCACCCTTTCAGGAGAGGGAAATTCTGCCATTATTATGAGAACCCGAATGAAGGAGAGGCCATTTCTTTCAATAGCATTGCTAAAACGATACGATCTGAATGTTGAACACATAAAAGAGGCGCCAAAATTTATTGCGAAAGACTCAAAAGATTCAAAAGAATCCAAAAGTTTTCACAAAAATTTTTTATATTGTTTATACTCTTTCTTCTTCGAATATTTCGGTGCCTAGCACCTTCTTCAGCGACCTGAAATACTACAGTTAGCCACCTCCACCGGAATCCTGAATCTTCAGTGGTGCCTTCTGGACTCTGACCTCCAGTATCCGCCAGTATGTCGACGCTGCTCCTTGCGAATGCCGCGCCTTCTAGTGGTAAATGACTGACCCTACCCGTTACCCTGCTTAAATAGTGAGGATGCCTAGTGAGTGCTTCTGCATATGATATCACTGACCGCTCCACCATTATCATTACCGTAGTCAGTGAATCAACTGCAGCGCGTCACGTAGCTCATCCTTGCTATTCATTTCTGGGGATAGTCTTCTTATTTCCAGTGCTTCTAATAACTTTCTTTCCAACGGATTTTCTATGGAGCGGTGTAATACTGTAATGGTAAGTGCGGGAGAGACTCCTACTCTCACGACCTGCATTGCCACTTTTGGGCGTGCTGCGAGAGACTGGTTCTCGTGATAGGAAGCTGGATTGTAAAGGGCCCTGCGGTGTTCATCTAACCGTTTGTAGAGTGGCCTCTTTGTCTCTCCAATGTACTTCTGCCCGCATCCCTGGCATTTTATCAAATATACCGTCCCCCTAAGTTGACATATTTTTCCGCCATTACAGTATGCGCAGCCACCTCGTCCACATTTATCTTCATAAGGCCTGGAGTACGTGAGCAGTCTTTTAAGATTTGGTGGTGGACGGAATATAAGACGTATGGGGAGTGGCGAGCCTTTAACTATGGTGTTAACTTTTACCGCCGTACTTTCATTGAGATATGGCATTACCAAGGGAATCCCATCCGGTGACGAGTACGGTCTCCATGTGTTAACACGTGTACTGATGTATCCATTATCCCCGAGAATTCGGTCCACCATTGTATCTACTTGTTGCGACCGCTGCGTACATATCCTTTCTTTTGTCTTGATCAAATTGCGAACTACGTTGTATATGACGGCGGCAACTTGTGGAAGTGACCAGTAATACATTGTTCGACCCGGAGGTTCTATACCAATACATCGCTGTTTGGTTCCGTGTTGTATCCTGACTCTCTATTCAGAAGGAATACGTGCTAGGCACCGAAATATTCGAAGAAGAAAGATTATAAACAATATAAAAATTTTGTGAAAACTTTTGGATTCTTTTGAATCTTTTGAGTCTTTCGCAATAAATTTTGGGCGCCTCTTTTATGTGTTCAACATTCAGATTGCAATGAGCTCCGGGGGATTCAAGCATCATATGCTGAACGATCCGATTTCAGATGAAACAGGCTTCGATCTAGCCGTGCCAACAACTTCTTCCGATGACAACGACGACGACGCTAACGTTGACATCGGGAGTCCCTTCTTTGACGGAGAACTGCAGGTTAGTTTCTTGAGCCTGATCGAGGTGTCATAGGCAATCAAAATCGAAATGCGAGCGCACAGTCGATATCGGGACACCCATTGTGCTGAGAAAACTGGCTCTTCAGCAAAACACCCCTATACTTCCGTCGCCTCATGTAAAAGTGCCCTCATTACTGGGGTTTCTCTTGACGCACATTTGTGGGTACCATGGATTAAAGGGGCCTTGGAAAAGTAGAGAGCTCCAAGACAAAACTGGTTTCGGCCTTCGCGTTGAGGCACAGTCCACGGTCGTACGGGCGCAAGCAGGCAGCCATTGTTTTTCCTAATTGGCGCCGTTGTTGGTAGAGACAGCGATGAGGAGACTAGTGGAATGGCACGACGGTAAGGCTTGCCCCGCCCATATGACCAACGTGAACTCGGCTTTCAGAAAGGATGCTCACACCGCACCAATTCCCAGTCGTTGCCGTAAGCGTAGAGACACCCAGACCAACCGCGTTCCGAAAGGGGCTAAGGCAAGGCTAGCATGGCCAACCCCAAGTTCCAAAAGCTGGGGCCTTTATATGGGCTTAGGGGTGTAATATACCAGACTCCGGTGTCTACCACCATAGAACTTGCGCCCAAACTATACACGTTATCAACCACATGTAAATCAGTTCAAAGGTTCTACGACGTTGGATCGCTGTCAATAAAAATACAGAAGAGCTGTTCTTAGGCCCAATTCTCTTGATGCGAGATATTGTTTCGGCAGACCGACAGTGATTGGGATCCCCAATTTTTTCGGGCCGTTTGTTCACCGGAGAAGAAAACATTTGTGGTGAAGGCGAAACGTGGCACCTGCAGAGAATACCAATTAAATCAACATTCGGATAATACGTGAGTGATTACTACAACGAGGCGATAACACTATGCAGTAGCTTCATCAGACAATTCTTCTGGTTACATCGCTTTTGGAGTCTAATCCAAGTCGATGGTAAGGGTGGAGACAGTCACACAAGTCGCCTTCCTCATTTGTCCTCGTCGCTAATTGGCATGGAGAGGATATTGCTCCAAGAGGGAGTGGGCAAGGTTTGCTGACCCGCGCATCAATCATCGTGGACTGGGCCCTGTCACAAAAAGGGCGCATATTCCATAAGATTATGTCTGGCGCACTAATCACACTGAATTATTGGAAATACCACACTTATGCAATTAAATGACGAAAATCTGTTTAGTGTTCTCGAACAACGTGTCAGTGAATGTTCGGCAACCATTCGTGGCCTGACTTTTGACTGCGACTACTCACTGGAGATTACTGAAGCTGGCAACGATAAGGTAACTTTGAATTTCTTCACTGAGTTTAGGGGGAGAAATAAACGTGCAGTGGCGGATTATTGTCGTGCAGAGTATAGTCGTTTTTTCTTGCGCGACGCTGACCCATGTAAAGCGAGGACCAAAGTGTGGCGCGCCGGCTAAGCCAGTTTCCCACCTAACTGTTCTGTTTTTCTGCTTCCAGCAACTGGCGCAGAATGGTGGTCCGTGCCCTAAACCCAGACTCTTGCCCACGCCCTAAGCGTTCGCAATGAAACGTTGTAAATCTCTGAAAAGATGTCAATCCCCCTTGTTCGACTCGCAGTCCACGGCTTGTCGTGAGGGCAGGGACAGTCGTCACAGTGCCCTCTAACATTCAGTAATTGACCGTTGAGGAGATGCATCCTAGTTGTTCGCAGCGTCACGGCGCAGCACTAGACGTTCTTGGAAGTGAGTGTCCAAAACTCCCACACGTGAATCCACTAACCCTTCCGCTTTTCTAGGACTGTGCCATGCCTTCCAATATCGGTTTATTACGTGAGACTAACGCTCACGCGACCGTGGCTCATGACGCCACACAAATCACTGAGAGGGGAAGCGGTTAGGAATTCAGTGGACATGGGGAGGGGGGGGGGGCGGTGTTAGGAAAATCTGTTATAATCTCTTTTTCATTTGTGAGCGCCACTGGCCCATCATGGCCCAGTATTTTGCAGCCAATATCCCTTAACTGCATCAGGCTTGACCCACAAGTATCCTTAGATCCTTTCATTGTTTAACAGATGAGGCATGGGCGCAGCTACCGGAGTGAGCCCCCATTCCAAACTACTGTCTTTTACCGATTTGAAATTCTCCAGCGAACCTTAATGAATACATTTACAGACAACACTCTCTAGCAGTTTCTCAACGAAATCGTGTGATTCGACGCCTTCGAGTGGTACCGTTCCCTGTCTTTCGCATTCCACACCCATCTTCTGCATCGTCCATACCATCGTATCCTGTCAATGGGTCCGTGATCGCGGACCAAACGCTGATACCGTAATCGGATACCGAACTGCCTTGACGTCACCGATGAGAGACGACACGAATATCACCATTTTGCCGCCACAAATTCGAGAGGTAAGCTTTAGCTATGGAAATCATCCAATGGGAGATGTTTCTAGGTTATTGATTAGCCGATTAATCGATAAAATGAGCGCTCATGTTTCAGATTCAATACGAGAACCTCGTCCCATCGACGATGTATACTCTTCAAGTACAGCCTATAACGAATCGAGGACTTGGCCAAGCACTCTTGACGAACTTTGTCACCCGCGCTCGACTGATCGATGAGAACGTCATTGAACGATTCCCTGGTGGGGAAATTATCGAGCTGCCACTGGAATCTTCCACCTCCACCTCCCTTACCGTACCCCTCCT